TCGTATAAACTCAGGCCAAGTGCATACTGGAAGCAAAGGCGGTGCGGATCAGCCCCCCGCGATCAGGCCAGGGCATGTCGGGCAGGTCCGGGGCTCAAGGAGTGGTGAGTCCACTTTCCTTCTCTTTCTCTATTCACGTCTTTGCTCAGTGTTCACTTCCGCTCGCTGAAGAGAAAGGGATGACAGTCAGGAGGCGAGGCCTCCTTTTATACGGTGAGATGCGCGCGCATTCAGGTAGGCCCGCCCCGGGGCCGGCTACGTCTATAGAAATCTCAGTAGGTGAATGCTTGCATGATAAGGTAGTACCCATAGAGTCCAGTAGAGGGCGGAGCCTGTGAGAGATATGATGTTTCAGATAATATAATTGTATATAATCAGGTTTAGGATTGTTACTTAAAAAATGCATTCCGTTACAAATACTAGTTATCGGTAGAAAAATGTAACCTAAAAAAATATGTAAAAGTAACGTAACCTGATATAAGTTTTAGTTTAATACATACAGTTAAGCTCACACATACTATTTGATGAACATATAGGTTCACCTGCTGAATTAAAAACAGAACAAATGAACCAAAGAAAGTGAAGGCAGTAGGCGTATAGATTCACACTGAAAGTATTAGTGAACAGTACAGCTTACAGAGAAGAGATAACATCTGATCCTTTACAACAAACACTAGATGCTCTTTTTAGGTTTTAGTAACATTAACATCCTGCTATCCCCAATTCTTAGAAATGTGACAGTAATCTAATGACATGTTTTTTATGTAACCGTAAGGGAATACAGTTACCTTTTTTGTAAACTGATAATGTAATCCGTTACTCTCAGAGCCTGAATACAATCTGCTTTATGTCCAACATATGCTCCACATGGGCTCTCATTGATGAGATGGCTGGGATAGTTTACTCTAACATGTGTTTGATAGCTCTAGCTTTTAGTTTAATGATCCTTTACAGTACTTACAGTATGTGTTAGTATCAAATAGTGATTAACGCAACTGGTGCTATTTATTCATTATCTCTCCACATCTGTCTCTTGTTAATGAATGTGATGTCAGCTCTCTGGGCCCCGTCCCATACTGTAGTTTGTCCCCCCCGTCTCCTCCAAGAACAGTTGCCCTCAATATTGACAGCCAAACGATGTGAGACCACAGGATGTTCCTTCAGCCAAATGTCTTAATCATGGGATTCACTGCATCTTGTTTTTTAAAGTCTAATACCTGTGTGTGTGTGAGTGGGTTGTGTCAATTATGTGCCAGCGTACTTTTATTTTGTGTAAGCATTTATCTTGTAAATATAATGTATTCCTGTAAATATAATGTATGATGTCCTTTATTGTTTTATGTTTCATGTGGAACCTATATGCTGCAGGTCTCCCTTGAAAAAGAGATCAATGATCTCAATGGGACCATCTGGTTAAATAAAGGTTTGAAATCTTGTTTTAATTTGTTATTATAGCTTTTAAAATAGTTTCATTAGATTTGTTGCTTGTTTTCTACAACTTATTCCTCTCAATGCGTTTATGTTTGTCCAACAGTGCAAAAGCACTTTAGAACTTTCAGACATATATATTTTTAAATGCATCAAAAAGGTTTCATACTCACTTCCAACAAAGGCACTACTCCCTCCTGCTTGAGGACTGGAGGGAGTAGGAGAGAAACTCCCTTTGGGATTTTAGCCTTTGTACACCAATAAAACAATGCACAAAAACAATCTAACTCACTATAGGTAAGGGAAAACCCCCAAAAGCATAATAGGGCCTCTGAAATCTTGAAATGTCCTTTAAAAGACAGAAGCCTCTGCTGCTGGGTATCTGTTTCTGCCTTTTCTTGTTGCAACAGATACAATGTTAAATGACATGTACAGTACATGATACTGCAAAACAAACCCTGGGTTCCTTCATCTTCCTGTATTTAAGAGCAGGTAGTTCCACTCTTTTCCTGCAGTGACTAATAAAACATGGGTTGTTTCTATGGAAGTGCTCCCTGCTCTCTCTGAGACATTACACTATATTATCTGCAGCTCCAGCCATTAGCCTAAAGGTACTTCATTTCCACCGCAGCATTACGGGAGTGATTCCCCAAGTAGATAAACTGTTGATAGGCCAAGATCTCAACAGTAATTACATCATGTTTTATAGTACATAATCCCTGAGAAAATGATGAGAATCTGGATGAAAGTGTACATCAATCAAATGTAACAAACCCAATTATTGTCAGCCCTCCCTTCCTCTCCGCGCTGCTCACAGCCATCACACATCTCCCCATGACTCAGTCCTGATATGGCAATTACAGCCGTGGAGAGTCTTCGCTAATAACTGCAATCCAATCACTTCACAGCACGCACGGAACGAAAAAAGGCAGACGATAAATAATGACAACCCGCAATTTACTTGATATTGTTATTTTTACGCTTGCCTCCTCAATAACAGGATCATTAATGGCTTTAATTTGGCTCGCTTCTACGAGTTTCCTCCACTGTCACGGTTCTCACATTGCACAAAGTGTGTGCCTACTGTTTCCAGGAGTACAGGAAGGCATATGTTCAGATATGTTAATTTAATGTAAGTACATATTCAGTGAGAGAAAACACAAAGGCTCCAGGTCCTCTATATTGCAATACGTTGTGGTAACTTATATATTGCATTATTGAAAATAAAATGTGAAGGCCGCTGAAGGCATTAACATTATAGGTTAGAACTGAGAGATTTTTAGATTTGCTTAGTTTAGCTTAACATAAAGACTGTAGGATGCAAGCCAAGCCTGATCCTATCCAAATGATCACTAATTCAATATTTTTGAGGGAGTTACATGCTGGGTCTTTTTCTTGGTGAATGACAGATGTGTGCAGAGGCTTTCCCAAAAACCTTTAGTCACCAAAGAAAGTCAGATAATGCCCAGAAATGATGTTTCGATTAATAAAACGTTTGCAAGGTTTATACCCTATGTTGAAATTAGATTTTCTTGGTGACATAATACATGCTTGCTTTTGAATTAAGATTCAATTCTCCCATCATAGCTCAGCTCACCTGAATCATTTGTGATTGTGACTAGCAACAGACCAACAACTTTGTTTGAGTTTTTAAGGAAAGTATGGTCAAGAATAACTTCTGATGCTGTACTTTTGTGCCAAGACAGAACAACACAGTCCTAAATGTTGGATGAAACATAACAGGTGGAGCTTACATGTCAACAGATCAATATCCATGACAATTAAACAAACTGAATGATCTTGGTGAGAGCTCAGTACAAACTAGAAGGTAAACCTTGAGTTGGGTCTTTTAACAGCAGTATTCCCTTTACACAGTAGCAGTTAAAATATTTCTTGTACATCTCAACTTAAACATGAATGAATGTAATCAAAATCAAATATAAAACCAAAGGTATTTGCCACTGCCAGGGCTTTAACGTTTTATCGAGTCCAGAGATAAGAAAACTGAACTTTGCAGTGGTTACAAATACCTATGGTTCTATCAACTCCGCCGTCTGAAGACGTCTGACATGGACAAAATGTCCATGTCAGAGTTCGGGACCTTTCTCCATGTTTCTGTCCCCGCCACTTCGTTCTGTTTCCGATTATGTGAGCACTGCAGCAGTCTTAGGCCCGCCCCCCATGCTCTCATTGGTTGAGACGCGTGATGACGGCCATCCTAAGCCAATACTTATCAACATCCCAACCCCCCTGTGACCCAGGGTTTGTCTGTATGTGTATTCAGAGCCAGTGAGCAACAGACTTTCTAAATAATAATAAAAAAACTGTTAGTGCGCAATACAATTATTGTCGGCGTTAATTAACTAATGCGTAAACGCAATAATAACGTGTTTACTTTCCTTGTCCTAATAATCATATTACTTTATTATTTAACTCAACCTTATCACACGGCTTAGATGAATACTCAATTCTGAGGTCGTTAGTTCTTGCTAACAGACCGTCGCTAAGGAGGATGATAGGACTATGTGGAGAAAACAGGAAGTAAACACTAATGGTAACAGCAGAGGAAGACAGACAGGAAGTAAACACTAACGGGCAAAACAGAAAAAGACCGACGGGAAGTAAACACTAACAGAAACACAGTATGGGCTCTGGCGAGTTTAAAGACTGGTTGATGGAAAAGAAAATGTGAACGGACTGGGACAGTTACAGAAAACCTTGATCAGTGCTGATCAACATCCTATTTTGTATTCATTAACGACGAGCTCCCTACACATTCTCCCTTACATATTGTACTTCTACTTCTCAAAGTTAGATTTGAATCCTTGGATTTTGACACCACTGGCAAGAGAGACAATGCTTGATAAATCTGATGGTAGGCAGTAGAGCCGTAAACCATGAATTCTTATTGGAAAATCTATCAGTAAATGTTCCAGCACGAGCCACTTCCTACCGAATTGGTAGTCCCCCTCAGTGCGGAAGTTGACTGGCAATTTGGGAGAGCAGTGCTTTGGGGTACTCTACTTCAATTGAGTCGGAGAGCAGCATCCCAAGAAAGGGCTCTAAACAGAAAGGGCAGTCCAGGCAAAGCAGTGAAGAATTTTTCAAGAGGAAAAGCTTAAAAATAATGACATCTTTGGAGAGAGTCTGTTATGGCTGAGAGCTGTTCTATGCCTCTATAATTGGTCCCACATAAAGCACCATTACAATTTGATTTTGCTATAAACAGACATTTAAAGCTGCAATATTTAATTTGCACATTGTCGGCCCAAGATGGAATCGAGAGGTAACTGTTTGAATATTGCAGACTTCATTACTCTGAAATCCTGTCAGATTACAGAGTTGAACTGCTTTAATGGGTTTGTGTATGTATACCAAGTAGGTCTGTGTGCTATTTCTTCACCAAAGACCAGAACATGAGATAAGCCCTGCATGTTGGATGTCTGTTTCAGGTGCGTAGCTGGCTGAAGTTGGATATCAAAGGTCACATAATGACTCCAACTCGTTTGTTGGAAAGTGGTGCCACAGCAGCATTTCAGAAAACACATAGATCCATTGAAAACATAAAGTACCAGTATGGTGGAGACGACCAGGGAGCGGTTGGATAAGGAGTCAGAGACGTTGGTCGTCTTCCCCCTTTGGTTGTCCGTCATGTTCAGTCCGCTTGGAGGGTCCCAGGTACCAATCTGTAAAACAAAATACAAATGTTTCATTTTCTAACTGGCTCCAGGGCCAACATTCAGATGGCAAACAGAACAATGTACCAAAGCATGATTGTGTTTTTGCAGTTTGAAAAACTATTAGGCTGCTTTAATTTCGGCTTACCTATAATTCTACCTTTTATTTGAACCTTTATTGGTCGTTTGGTTAATCAAAGACATTATTTTACAATCAGCTTTGTTTTCTGCACAAGGTCACTAAAGAGGCCCTAGTATGCCTTTTGTGGTTTCCCCTTTCCTGTAGTGTTCATATAGGTTTCTGTGCATGTAAATGGTCTGCAAAGGCTAAAATCCCAAAGCTCCCTCCAGAGGGAGCTTCTCTCCCCCTCCATTGGACTTTTTAGTTGACTTCCATTACATAATGACATCACTATGAAACACTTGCATTTCTATTGGCCAGCTCTCCAACAGATTGTTCATGATAGGCTAAGGGGCGAGACAATTCCAACACATCACTACACGGTATACAGAGGGTGGAAAGAGGTGCTGCAGCACAGGCAGTATGAGAAACATAAAGAGCTTTTTGAACATTGAAGCATGTCAATATGTAGAAGCACAAAATAACATGAAATGAGCATAATATGTCTTTAAATGAAATGTTGTCAGCACCTCTGCAACCCTCTGCCAATCATGATAACCATTAACATTAATAAAATCAGCAGACAACCTCATTATGAGAAAATAACTTAAAGATTTGGTGACAATTTTATATTCACATCTAGTGCAGCCACCACAAAACCTGCACACTTTTAACTTTGTTCTCGTTGAATGATTGACATAGGACTTGTTGTATTGCGTGATATGACATGTGCATCTTAACAGGATAACACAAATTGGTAACATTACCCTATACACAGCCAGACTGTGTACTGTATGGACACATACTGACTCTCTCCTCTCTTTCTATGCCGGATACATACAGAGGATAATGTGCAACACCCTGAGGAAACTGTTGACAGCCATGTGAACCCTGAACACTGTCAGGGGGCACTTTCTGCTAGACTCCCACAAGGAATAATGTTAGAGATGATCTAGGATCTGTATTGGCCCTGTGGCTTTTTGGAGGGTTTGTGGAGGACAACACTAAGGAGGGCTCAAAGAAGGAGGGGGCGCATCCTGGGGAAGCACGCCGGAAGAAGATGATTGTTGGATCGTGCCTCTAGGCTTCTCTTGTCCTTCTAGCTCCACCTTCATGCAGCCCCTCCAACCCAACCTGAGCCCAGGGATCGCAAACACTCCAGCCAACACCAGCCACACACTCCTCAGGGCTCTTCTGGTGCCCTGTATGAGGCTGGAGACGGGCTTTGTAATTGCAAATCAACTCTTTAATTCAGGCTTCATGAGAGTGGAGGGCTTCTGAAGGTTTTTTTATTAATAGAGTAAATTATTCATGAAGATGCAGGCGCACACAGAGCAGAGGTCAGGAGCTTCTGAGAGGCGAGTACCAGTGAGGATGCTGAAGTGTGAAGTGTTTGCGCTTGCATTTGAGAATATTATTTGTATCGGCAGTGTAAGCAGGGTATCCTCCGGCTGGTAATCTCATGATTATGTCTCACTGGAGATGCTTCCTAGGAAACAATCTGAAACATAGAGGCGTCTATTGGTATGAGTACACAGACATACGCTGACACGGATACCATGACATGCTATGATGCATTATAAGTGATATTAAATGTAGGGTTTGGGCAGAATTAAATGTATATTTTAAAGGGACAGTGTGCAGCGTTTGGCTGGACACTTAACATGTAGACCAGAGGAGCCAGTGATCAAACTGCCAAACCTGTGATTACTGGACGACCTTTTCTATACCTTCAAAAACGCTTAACCCTGTAAGGCCCCCGGTTGTAATTTTACAACATTAATTTAAGCTATCTTAAAAAAGTCAGTAAATGTTTTTGTTTTTTTAAAGACTACATTTACATAGTCAAAAGGTCCTTTTGTTCAGCCTCACAATGCTATTGGGTAGTAAATGTGTTTATAGGTCCTGGCCTCTGGAGCATACACTCACACAACTTCCGAATCTTCAAACGAGCAACATCTCTTTGTTTTATTGGACTGGATGCCATCCAACACGGAGAAAGTGGGTGAGAACTGGAATCTCTGGAATGATCTGTGACGTTGATGTGTACCAAGGCAGTGTCAATGAGATACGAGGCAAGTCTGAACTTGGATTGTCAGGTGATGTTGTGATGAAGCTTGCCTCCACGCTTCCAGAAGGTCTGAACTACAAGATCTACGCAGACAACTACTTCACCTGTGTCCCATTGGTAGTGAAGCTCCTTGATCGTTGGATTCATTATGTGGGAACAGCCAGGCAGGTGCGCTTACCCAACTGCAACCTTGAAGAGGAGAAGAGCTTGAAGAAAAAAGGGAGAGGAAGCTTTGACATCCGAGTGGAGGCCAACCACAACATCTGTGCTGTCAAATGGTATGACAGCAGAGCGGTCACACTTGTGTCATCCTTTGCTGGACCAGACCCATGAAGTCCCGACGCTGGTACGTGTACATCTTCTGGCACTCCATCATACTTGCTGTGATCAACAGCTCCTCTACAAGCGGGAGTGCAAAGCTCCAAAGATGCCAAAGCAGGAGATCCTGAACAGGAGACAGCTTCAGGCAGATCTAGCATCCTCTCTCATCCTGGTAAGAATGCATTTCTGCTATTTGCTGTTTGTAATATATTTTTATATTTCACTGTAATATTTTTGACTTGTATCCTAATGTATTTTTGACATGTATCTTGATTGATTCTGTTCTAATCAGGTGAACACAACTCCTCTGAAAACACCCAAGAGAGGACGACCATCTTCAGGCAAGGGGAGCCCAGCACCGACGGTGACATCAAGGAGCCCGTTGAATGCTCAGAAGAGACCATCCTCAGGTGATGGGAGTCCACCAAACGGGGCCCCATCCAAGAGATCACAACCTCCACTGGATGTACGCAAGGACCTAATGGCACATTTTCCAGTGAAGACAAAGAGAGGACGCTGCAGACACTGCAGTAAAGGGTACACAAACACACAATGCAGCAAGTGTGACGTCCGTCTCTGCTTTTCTGACGATAGGAACAGTTTTTGGGACTACCATTGTATTCATATTTAATAAATGACTATTCATAAAAAATATGACTGATGTGTGATTATTATTCATGCTATACTGATATAGGGCTAAGTAAGCAATCAATCCTGCAAATCAACCCTTAGTTGTTCAATATATGTATTCAGACAATGTGAGTCGAAATACAGGAATTCTGCTCCCACCTAAGCCCAACGTTGCAATATTACAACATTTCCCTAAAAACTTACCAAAACGTAAAAAATGTGAAAACTCTGAACATTTCTGCTCCATAGGCTCCCTACAACAACATCTGAAAGGTCAAAAAAAATATATATATATATAACTGATTTTTTTATTGTAATTCAAGCCTCTGTTCTTGGTCTGAAAGCCCATAACATAACAATCTGAGTAAAAAAGGAGATAAAGATGTTTGAGTTCCTGGCAAGCAACACACCTGGTTTGAATGTATTTTTGGCTAACTGGATATAATGTCTGTCATGTTGGCTGTCACTTGTCATTTGTGTTGCATGCAAAAAAACTTCCAGCAGTCAAATTCCCACACAAATCTTTCTTCACACTGAGACTGAAAACGTCTTGATAAAACAGTTCAATGGGGACACTAAGATGGTATACCCCACTAAAAAAGATTGTCACAACCAAAAACATCAATATGCTTTGTCTTCTTCTGACTGGATGTTTCCCCTCTCCTTCACAGCGTTGATGCCTTAGCATGGAATCTCTTTATGGCCATGACAGGAAGAATACTAACTATTTCAACGTTCATATATTTGGTAGCAGTCAGCTATATCTGAAATGTGTCTTATTTCTTTATTTTTGTCTTGACCCGATAAGCTGAGTTAGATTTAATTAACTATATTGTATATAACTTTAAAACTGAGTCTCCAGTATATACATACAAATTGTATTTTCTATTCCACAATTTTCAGTCGAAATGTTGAAATTAATGCAAGTAAAACATCCAACAAATATATTATACCCAAAATCAGCACTTTTGAAACAGGAAGTGAAATAGAGGGATATGAGGCATGGCTAGAATGGGTGATCTGTTTGGTATTTTGAGCAAAACACTTCATAGACATGTTTTTTATATATTTGTATATATCTGAGACCTATGCTATTGCCTAAAATAGCATGATAGGTCCACTTTAAAGCATCGTCTCGCGAGGCACTCTGGATCTCAGGACGCAGACTGCTAACATATTTACATATTCCATATTTCCAAGGATCCACTCATAAAGACATTGACAGTCTCCAAATGTTCTTGCTAATTTTAAGTTCATATTGATAACAATCTCCATCCTTCATTCACTTTGGGCTTGTTCTTCTTAAATAGATTGGAAGTCCTCACAACAAGTCAACAAGCTTGTGATCTGAAGGTTGTAGGTTCAATCCCCAGACCACAAGGATATGTTTGGGTGAGGTTGTCCGTACTGATGGTCAGTTATAAACAGTTTTAGTTTTGGTCTTCCTGACTCCAGCTCTTTATTTAACACACATATATATCTTCTTATCTTGAAAAGAAGACAAACTATTTATTTGAATATAAGTTACTGGTAAAATGATCAATTCTTGAAGTGATGATATCTTTTTGTAGGCCACCCTTGAAGTTAGCATTGCAAGGGTTCCCTCGACAAATAGAAAAAGGCTTTCAAAGTTGGATTTGAGTACATTAAAGAAAATAAGCTTTGCGGCCAACACACATTTATGATACTTATAAAAACATCAATATTAACACCACTTTATGATTTTCGAAGCGTAAACGTAATCTGCGGGAATAAAAAGCTAACGTAATGCTATAAAGGAAATACATCACGGTCTCCTGGCTGCACATCACCACCGCTGAGCTAAAGGCGGTCTCATGTCAGTGTGATGACATTGAGTAGTAACCGCCATTTTTAGGACCAAGAGAAGCTTCAGACATTCACCAGTGGAGCATTAACGGATGTTTTCAGCTTGTGTTAACCATCCTAGATATGCATTAGAGTTACGTAGAAGCCTTCAATTAATGGACCGCAGGTACAAGTACAAGTACAAGTTATATGGGTATTTTGCGAGATCCATTCATCTGTCACAATTCACATTCTCCATACATTTGCACATTGATTTGACATGTCTCCTCTCATCCTCACATTGTCATAGCAGGTGAATCGATGCACACATTAGAGACACACTACCTTCTCAAGCCCTTCTTCCTTCAGACTGATAACATCGAGGTCAAAGTCGGTCCTCAAGCCATTGGTCCGGTTGAAGATTATTCTTCCGGTCAGGCCATCCCAGTGGGCCTAAAGACATGGGGCGGGGGGGGGGGATATGAGAGGAGATTCAACAATCAGCACCAAGTCTTAATCTTTCCTTTTTGGATGTCGCTGTTCAAAGCAAAGCCGCCAAGGAGTCAGAACACACACTTTTTCTTTGTCTACTCTCACACACTGGTTCTGTCTGTACAGCTTCCTGGCATCAGAAGCTCTACACACACACTCTGAGGCTGCATTTGTAACCGTGTGAAGGCAATCTCGCAATCTTTACAGATATTCAGGGGTGTGATAAGATACAATGCAGCATGAAAGTGGTTCAGAGCAGGAAAAGCTTTTTTTCTAGGTTCAGCAAATCATCACAGAGATTTTCCAACTGGGAGCCGGGGACTTCAGGCCCTGAAGTCAGAAGAGTGGGAGCCAAAGATCTCTTCCTCTGTACAGTCTGCTGTGCTAGAAAGCCTTTTTCATGATGCTTTGATTCATACACCTCTAATAATCATAGTGCTGTTTGCATATCACTCCAAAAGAGACTTTACTTTTTGCAATTACCAAGTGATATATGAAATCTGTCAACTTGTGTTGTCAATGTGTTACTATACAGTCTGTCACTTAATCTTCTTCACAACTGTTGACCATTTCCTGGATCCTAGATATTCATGGTCCCAAGAGGAGGACTCCTGCAGACTTTGGTGTGTCATAATTGGTATACTTAAATTATTTAATGCTCCACAGAGGATGAACCCATTTCATTTCAAACATTCTAAGATATGGACCCCTCTCTGAAGACAACAGTTAGCTGCCAATCTCCTAATAACTCTTCTTCTTCAAGACCCACCTTAAAATGACCCTTGGCGTTCTGAGTTGCTTACGTTGCCGGGATTGTAATCCAGCCTTGAATGCCATCCTCATGACAAGAATAATATATATTTCTAATATTATATTTGTGTGCAGCTTTGACTCTTGAAAGGGAGAATTGTAAGCTAAGTCAACCCCTGATTTGTCTAGCACCACAAAGTTCATTGGAACAAAAGAGATTTTTTTTTAAAAACAAGCCGGAATAAAAGCATATTAATGCTGCTCAGAGGTTCTTGACTTAAATGATCCCAAGGCCCACTCCCCTTATGACCAACCACAGAAAAAAAACATATACTGTATATTTGAAACCAAGCAACACGTTTTTAAGGGGGGTGAGAGCTGGGAAACGACCATTCATAGTGTTTTTGTGATGCAGTTTTAAAGTTCTACAAAAGATGTAGCTAGTAAAGGATCATCATTTAAGATCATTTTGGATTGTTCAAAATAAAGTTCAATTAATCAAATCTAATTAAATATCTTAATTTGCCTACTTGCCTATATCGTCAAATAAATATTAATTAAGCATAAAACGTTTATTTTACATGGTGTATTTTTCAAAGATGGTGTCATGTAAACTTGAGTATACTTCAAGATTTTTGAAAAGTAAGGGTTGTGGAAGGAAAAATAAACAGAGCATCAAAACATCTATCGTGAAAACTGTTGAATTGAATATAAATAAATGCATATAGTTCCAATTTGCAAACTCTCACCATATGGTTTATTTATTGCAGTGCTCTCATGAACAGAGCGTAAGGGAGCCCTAAATATAGTTTGCCTAATCCTCAGCCTTTCCACGGAAAGAAAGCTCCGGATTAACCATCCCAGATTCAGAAACGCAGCGAACTGTGGGGCAATTACCAAATATTAAGATAATGTTCTGTTTTTTGTTTCTGCATGGCTGACTAACGCTGAGAGCAGGCTCAAGATGGCTGCCGTCCTCATGGGAGTATGTATGCAAACACAAAAAAAGGTTTCCATATGAATAAATACACAGATAAATCATCTCTATTTAATCACATTCCTTTTGCCTCGGCCTTATTTGCATTCTGCAGGTCTGCTCCGCTGAGAGCATGTGTTTGCTGTGTGTGAAGGTGTGTGTATGGTGGGGGGGAGCAGGTAGAGCAGCAGCTACCTCTTTGATGAGGGCCATGAAGCGGTTCCCGAAGCGCCAGGGCTTGTGTCGGTTGCACTGTAACGAGCTGACAGTGATCTGCTGAGACTGCTGCACAGCCACGGCCACCACGTGCACGGCATCGTACATGAGCGCGGCGTCCGTCTGCAAACAGAGAGGGGAGGGGGGGAGGGGGGGGAGGGGGGGGGGGAACAGAGCGTCATTCACATGGAACACAGCACACAGAGAATCAGCGGGCACAGGCATGAATCTGCTCAGAATCAGAGAATATCAATATCATGATGGCACAATCAAAGCCTCACATTAAAACCCAGGGGCCCGGCTCCAGAGCGCAGACAGTAGAGAGAGAAAACATTTAAAAATAAAGGAGAGAGAGTAAAGGCTCCTTCTCAAACAGACAGGACTTTTCTTCAGACTGTTCATTTTACATTTATATTACATTTATATGCCATTTCTTGGACACTTCATGTAAATAATACTTTCAAATTGTGTTAGCTGTAATTTGTCCCTCAGATTTGTATCTCTCCAGGTCAACTTTTATGTATTTTTCTTTTTAGTTCTGTTTTGTTTTCTGAGATGTTTATATGTTATGTTTTTTCATTTTCTACACTTTTTATTTTTCACATTACGTGCAATGCCTTTTTAACATGCTGCTGTAATGAAAACATGTCCCAATTTGGGATCAATAAAGTGTATATTATCTTATTTATCTTATCTTATATTCATGCAAATATTTGCACATGTATAAATAATATGCAAAGAATAAAGTTAATATTAAATACATGATCCGTCCTATACTTTCTTACACATAAAAAAAGCTTCTAAAGTAAACTATTTTATCCAAACAGTACTACTACTTCATAACTACTACTACTACTACTACTAGATATACAACTACTTCCAAACAATTACTTTCATGTTGTGATTAAGTTACTGATTATATTTTGTTACATGTAACTAGTAATTGTAACATATTCAATTGTTAAAGTAAGCCTCTGCTAGATACTCATTTTCAAAGGCCTAGCTCAGACAAGAACTTAGAAGGAAGACTAAACTCCCGCTGTGACCAGAAGGCTCTCTGCAATATGTTCTCACGATGAATAAATGTTTAATGCTGGATGCACACATTGAGGTGGACGTCACAATGCCCCTTAAGTGAGTGAAGGCAACAGTGATACTTGGAGCAGTGAGTTGAAGTGACAGCAATAACCGTTTTTCTCCATGTCATTTAAAATTGGTCATACAGCAATAAGAAACCATTCAGATCAGATAAGTTAAACCTTAATGATCCCCATAGGGAAATTCAGGTGTCCTAGCAGCAACAGAAATACGAGTCAAGCACAGGATAGGACAGATGTGAATTCTCTCAAGGATAGGGATAACTATAGAAGTAAAATAAAAAAACAGTATTCATTTAAATTAAAGGTGTTTACATATATACAGATATGTATAACTATGGATGTGATATTCAAGCAAAGGATATAAACAAAAAGGCTCTGAAGTTGATACACAAAGAACCCTGTGTGCTGCCTTTTCTAGCTCTCTTTTATATTATCAGTATATATATTTTTCTAAACAGAGGAGGGCCGCCTAAGCTATCAGAGAAGTGCCAGTCATCCATGCTTCATGAGAGAAGCCTATAATTCTGCAGTTCCTCAAAACAGAAAAATCTAATTAGTGTTTGTCTCGCTTGATTGAAAAGCAATCAAAACAGCTCTCCGTAGTTGTTGCATGGAAATCGTGCCCTGAGGTGCCCGGGAAGCATCGTCCTTCAGGAAAGAAATCACTCCCAAACCTTTCATTTCCCCCATTTGAGCTCTGATTGGGCTTCCAAAGATGGCAGTTTAACTTGTTCCTTTGGCTGTAATGGCGTTGGGAAGACACTCCAGTGGCCATTTGACTTTGCGTGAATGTGTGTGTGTGTGTGTGTGTGTGTGTGTGTGTGTGTGTGTGTGTGTGTGTGTGTGTGTGTGTGTGTGTGTGTGTGTGTGTGTGTGTGTGTGTGTGTGTGTGTGTGTGTGTGTGTGTGTGTGTGTGTGTGTGTGTGTGTGTGTGTGGCTTGTTCCACATGCGTGTGAGATGTCCATAGACGTTTCAAAATCAATCACAGTCAGAGAGCTCGTTTCTAGAAACTCCTACTGTTTTCAGTGTGTGCCCGCAGGAGTGTGAGGTATTAATAATCTGTGTTAGGAGAAGGTGTTGAATCAAAGGGAGTGTGAATTTATTGCAGTGTGGGTGTCACCTGGTGGCTGTTAAGGTGCTGTTTACACGAGAACGCAAACGGTTGTATCTGCTACTTTTCTCTTTCATATAGCCCGTTCGTTCACACGAGGCCGTAACGGAAACGCGGAAACGGACCCCGCAAACGATAACGGGTCCCAAGGTGGATAGATCTGCAAACGGAACGCCCTGGGGGGCCAAACGGCTCAGTGTGTACGCCCTATACGATCATTTCCTGATAACGATGAAGCCATAGCCCCACCTCTACCCACCTCTGCTGCTCACTGCTGTAGCATGGTCAGTAGCTACTGTCAGCAGCTACTGCTACTGCTACTGACCATGCTACAGATGTTAGTGCAAAATCTACAGCTCCTCCACCACAACCATCAGCAACAAGTGGACATGGAGAATTACATGAACTACATGTTGCTAAATCCAACAGAAGGGCAACCATGGCAACCATGCTCGGGGGTCTTCTTCGCTGCTTTTTGTGTATTTTGTGGCGGAAGTACAGCGCCACTTACAGGCCTGGCATATGTACTACAGCGTCTCCAGCGCTTTCGAGCGGTCTCGTGTGAACAGAAGACTTTTTTGATATCGTATTCGGTTCGTTTGCGTTTCGTTTGCGTTTGCATTTGCGGGTGTCAACCATCAATAATGGGATGGATATGATCCACTTTGACAGAACTACCACTGGTGGTCAAATTGATCACGCTACATTTCAACTATCTTGTTTGCAGGTGAAGATGTTGGTGTATGGACCTGACAGGAGAATAGGAATCCCCATGATCAGTAGGGATAAGTATTCCACACAAAATCATACAAAATATAGCCATTGAAATCTTGTTTGCGATGTGGTTGATCCTGTGTGTGGTGTGTCCAATATCCATGGGATTAATCCCATGGATCAAGGATGTACTTACGTAGGTAATTCATTTTAAATTATTGTTTAATTTGTGTACTTTAGGGATTACTTTCTGTACTTATGGAGAAAGTTGGGACATACAGCTCTGGAAAAAATTAAGAGACCACTTCACATTTTTCTTAAATCTCAATCTCTGAATGTATGGAAACCATTACATTCCAGTGTCTGTTGAATTCCAACAGTAGTATTTGTCAGTAGTTTAAAGAATTAAATACTTTTTTTTTAAGTTTACTCAAAACCATACCTATACATAATAAAACCAGAGAAACTGATAGTGCTGCAGTGGTCTCTTAATTTTTTTCAGAGCTGTATTATAAAGATCAAGGCAGACTGCTTGCATTGAGAGGTAGGGGATATGGATGGGTTGGTAGAACAAACAAAGGGCTTTGAACTAGGAGTCCAGTTTTGGTGCCCGGCATGACACCGAGCTATAGTTATATAACGTGGTGTATCCTATGTTAGCTAAGGGGCATTAGGTACACGGTTAATGTAACATTATTTGTTTATCATCATGATCTTTCCAAAAAACCTAACCATGTAGTTTGGGCGCCTCAACCTAACGTAATAAAAAGTAAATCCCACACCCGACAAAATATTCCCTCTACGATGATTATTCCTATTTTAGAAAAAGTCATGAAGTTAGAGATGTGTGGGTTGTATTCAAACAGAATTACAGGTATTTGAAAACGAAGTGGGGTAAAAATGACCCCCTTAGTGGTTCTAGCGTTGAAGGGTTCTCATTCGTTTGTTAATACTTCTTTAGACCTTTAGCAGAACATTTTTAACAAATCATAAAATGGTGGGGACAAAGACAGCCATTTCAGCAAGTTGTGAGTTCATTCCCCGAGCACCCCCAGTGTGAATGACACATACAGTATGCCTCTGAAGCTACAGATATGAAGATGGCATCAATTATGAGATTGGTTTTCAAATTCCTGATATCCACCCTGACCTTCTCCTCAGGTTTGTCTTGGCTTTTGTTAAACAACAAGGATAGTCATCTTCAGCAAGACATGTAAACATATGCAGTTTTAAGTGTTTGAAATCATGATTTTCTTTACGACATATCTGATATTGGCCTTCATACACCTGTATTAGTTCAACACCCCAGTGTGTATTTGGGTGCCATGAAGCTTGCAGTCACACTGAAGTCTTTCCAAGTCAATCTTCCTGTCAGTGCTGAGGGCTGGAGCTCTGTCCACACTGCCATCCATACTCTCCGCTATAAACCACACAGGCCTTCGGGCAGCTCATAAGAGCAATGTGACACCATGTCAGTCCCAGCACTGATACTGGAACAATAAAAGTCAGCGGGATGTGTAGAACCGTCAGAGTTAACTTGTGTTCCCAGCCAGATGGCTCGGACTCGGCTGGCATAGTCCTGATAAACTGACGAAAATATTCCAGTCGAAGCACTTCAGTCAATACGGAGTCAAAGTTAAGAAAGTATTTCATGAATTAAATATGTGCTTAATTAAAATAAGCAGCCATTCAGCGGGTGAGGATGAGTGGAGGCTTGCTGCAGGAGTTCTGGCAGCAGAGGTGTGTGTGTGTGTGTGTGTGTGTGTGTGTGTGTGTGTGTGTGTGTGTGTGTGTGTGTGTGTGTGTGTGTGTGTGTGTGTGTGTGCGTGTGCATGTGCGTGTGCGTGTGCGTGTGCGTGTGTGTGTGTGTGTGTGTGTGTGGGTGTGTGTCTCTGCATCTCCCTGGTGGAAGGCTCACAAGTACCCGTCAGGCACACTCGCAAATGATTTAGCAACACCGGCACTTCACTCTATAAACATCTCATTAAAATCAATTATGTCACTCCTGAATGAAATTAAAGCTAAATGCTTTAAAAGCTGTTTTTCCCTTGTGTCAGCCAATATGAGCATACCCCTGACGCTGTCTGTTTTTCCCCTCATTGTTGCATCCTCCCTCTCTATCTCTCTCCTGCTCCTCTCTCAGAGAGACTAAGAGAGATGTATTAACCTGTTAAGCCCTGAGCCTGTTTTTCAGGTC